TTTCCAGCCGAGGCTCCAGGGGCTATGGTGGTTGGAGGGAGTTTTGGAATGTGAAATGTCCCGTGGGAGGGAGGGGATGAGGCTTGGGGGGCCTCCGAGATGAGCATGGGGATCTCCAAACCTCCCCCAAAGCCAAGTCCTGGGTCAAGGGGTGGTCCCTGACCCCACATTTCTGTTCCTGCCCCATTTTGGGGGGACACAAAGAAGGTTTTCTCAAGCCCCTGATGGGATGGATCCACCCTGGTCCAGGATTTCCTCGTTCTGGGGGAGAACAGGGTGGATTTGGGTGGGATTTGGTCAGTTCTCTGTTTCTGGAAGGGGTTGGACACTCCAAGGGAGACCTTGAACACCCCAATCCTCCCCTGGGCCCACCCCAGGATGAGCCCCCAGCCCTGGGGGTGCTCCCAGATCTCCTCTCGGCCACCAAGGCAGCCTTGGGGACCTCCGAGATGAGCGTGGGGGTCTCCAAACCTCCTCCAAAGCCAGGTCCTGGGCCAAGGGGTGGTCCCTGACCCCACATTTCTGTTCCTGCCCCATTTCTGGGGGGACACAAAGAGGGTTCTCTCAAGCCCCTGATGGGATGGATCCACCCTGGTCCAGGATTTCCTCGTTCTGGGGGAGAGCAGGGTGGGTTTGGGAGGGATTTGGAGCAAGAGCAAAGGGAAGGAGACCCCCCCCCCCACTCCAGCCTGGCTCCCACCCTGCCCCCAGGACACCCCCCGGGCTCTCGGGTCGCCCCCACAACAAATCCCGCATTTATAACGCACCAACCTCCCCCAAAAAAGTGATTTTTTGCTGTTTTTTAACTCCTTTCTCCCCCCCTCCCCTCCACAACCATCCCACCCACCCCCCAAAAAAACCCCTCAGGGCGCGCGCTGGGAAATATTCCAGAGGGGGCTGGGGAGGTTCTGCAGCTCCCGCGCTCCGAGGAACACACAAAGACCGATTCAGGTGGAATTCCCGTCAGGAATTCCCGTCAGGAGAGGCCGGGAAGGGGCGGGGGGAGGAGGGAGAAGAACGCGCGATCCGATCCCGACCGTGAATCCCGGCCAGGGGTTTATTTACATTCCCGCCCCCCCTCCGGGAATATTTGCGAGGAGATTCCAAAGTCACCGCGGCGGCGGCGGCTCCAGGGAGGGAGGTCTGGGAATGGGGGGCGGCGGGGGGGGGAAATTTGGGAATAAAAGGAGTGGAAGGTCGGGCTGGGTTTGTGTGCTGGGAGGATTCTCCTGCCTCGGAGGGAAGAGGGAAGTGTTGGGATGCGGCTGTGGGGGGAGGGTTGGGGGGAGGGTTCATCCGGTCCCTCCTGAGGGTCCGGAATCCCAACACAAATCCCAACAGCAGGAGCTGGCACCGTTCTGGGTCCTGACACCCCCACCCCATCCCTGGATCTGCTCCTGTTTCCCTGGATCTGCTCCCATTCCAGGTCCTGACACCCTGACCCCATCCCCGGATCTTCTCCCATTTCAGATCCTGAAATCCTGACCCCATCCCTGGATCTGCCCCTGTTTCCCTGGATCTGTTCCCATTCCAGATCCTGACACCCCGACCCCATCCCTGGATCTGCTCCTGTTTCCCTGGATCTACTCCCATTCCAGGTCCTGACACCCCGACCCCATCCCTGGATCTGCTCCCATTCCAGGTCCTGACACTCCCACCCCATCCTCTGGATCTGCTCCTGTTTCCCTGGATCTGCTCCCATTCCAGGTCCTGAAATCCTGACCCCATCCCTGGATCTGCTCCTGTTTCCCTGGATCTGCTCCTGTTTCCCTGGATCTGCTCCCGTTTCCCTGGATCTGCTCCCATTCCAGATCCTGACACCCCGACCCCATCCCTGGATCTGCCCCTGTTTCCCTGGATCTGCTCCCGTTTCCCTGGATCTGCTCCCATTTCAGATCCTGAAATCCTGACCCCATCCCTGGATCTGCCCCTGTTTCCCTGGATCTGCTCCCGTTTCCCTGGATCTGCTCCCATTCCAGGAGCACCTTGGCCCGGGACAAACACTGCTCAGCTCTCGGGTGAACATTAAACCCCTCGGAATTCCCTCAAATCCCACATTTTTGGGCTTCTTGACGAGTCACCAGGACCTTGCTGACAAAAGGCAGCCGGTCCTGCTCTAATTGCGGGAGAGGAGCCCCAAATTTCCCCTGGAGAGGTGAAGTTTCCCCTGGAGAGGTGAAGTTTCTCCTCCTCACCTCCAGAAAAAACGGAAGAGAGGCGGCAAAAGACCCTCCGGAGACGCACCGGGAAAAATCCATCCCGGGAATTTAAAGCAAACCTGGGGATTTTTTACTGCCCGGGCTCAGCAGAGCACGGAAACATTTGCTTAACTTTAAACACCTGCTTAACTTTAAGCCTGGGCTAAACCCCCCGCGGGAGGCTGGGGCTGCCGGGGGGGTGGGATGAGGGGCTTCTCCTGCCCGTGGTGGGATGGGATGTGAGCCTGGGGTTGGGAAAACCCCCCGGGATTTCTGGGAAGGGGAAGGGACCTCCTTTCTTCCCTGTGATTCATAAGGAGGAGACAAGGAGCCTCCTCTGCCCGCCCGAATTCCAGCGGGATCTCCGCTGGAGATATCATTCCTCCCGGGCCTGAGGGGTCCTGGAGGGTCCGGGGGGGTTCTGGGGGGTTCTGGAGGGTTCTGGAGGGTTCTGGAGGATCCTGGAGGGTCTTGGGGGATCCTGGAAAGTCCTTTGGGGTCTGGGGTGGTTCGGGGGGGTTCTGGAGGGTCTTGGGGGATCCTGGAAAGTCCTTTGGGGTCCTGAAGGGTCCTGCGGGACCCTGGAGGGTCCTGGAAAGTCCTTCAGGGTCCTGGAGGGTCTTGGAGGGTTCTGGGGGATTCTGGGGGGTCCTGGAAAATTCTGGAGGGTCTTGGAGGATCCTGGAAAGTCCGAGGGGGTCCAGGAGGGTCCTGGGGGATCCTGAAGGGTCCTGGAGGGTTTGGGGGTGGTCCTGGAGAGTCTTGGGGGATCTTGGATGGTCCTGGTCGGTCCTGGGGGGTCCTGGGGGGTCCTGGATGGTCCTTGAGGGTCCTGGAGGGGAGGGTTCTGGAGGGTCTTGGGGGGCTCTGGAGGATTCGGGGGGGTCCTGGAAAATTCTGGGGAAATTCTGGGTCCTGGAGGGTCCTGGAGGGTCCCAGAAAGTTCTGAAGGGTCCTGGAGGGTTCTGGAGGATCCTGGAGGATCTTAGGGGATCCTGGGGGGTCCTGGAGAATCCTGGAGGGTTCAAGGGGGTCCTGGAGCGTCCTTGGGGGTCCTGGAGGATCCTGGAGGGTTCAGGGGGGTCCTGGAGAATCCTGGAGGGTTCTGGAGGGTCCTGGAGGATCCTGGAGGATCCTGGGGTGTCTGAGGGGGTCCTGGAGGGTTCTGGAGGTTCTGTGAGCCTGTGATTCCCGGATTCCAGGATTCCAGGATTCCGCGCCTCTGTGAGTCTGTGATTCCCGGATTCCCGGATTCCAGGATTCCAGGATTCCAGGATTCCGTGCCTCTGTGAGTCTGTGATTCCAGGATTCCAGGATTCCCAGATTCCAGGATTCCGTGCCTCTGTGAGTCTGTGATTCCCGGATTCCAGGATTCCCAGATTCCAGGATTCCGTGCCTCTGTGAGTCTGTGATTCCAGGATTCCAGGATTCCAGGATTCCCGGATTCCGTGCCTCTGTGAGTCTGTGATTCCGGAATTCTGGGATTCCAGGATTCCATGCCTCTGTGAGTCTGTGATTCCAGGATTCCCGGATTCCCGGATTCCAGGATTCCAGGATTCCGTGCCTCTGTGAGTCTGTGATTCCAGGATTCCCAGATTCCCGGATTCCAGGATTCCGTGCCTCTGTGAGTCTGTGATTCCAGGATTCTGGGATTCCAGGATTCCAGGATTCCAGGATTCCGTGCCTCTGTGAGTCTGTGATTCCCGGATTCCCGGATTCCAGGATTCCCGGATTCCAGGATTCTGTGCCTCTGTGAGTCTCCGCCCCAGCCCAGCCCTCCCCCAGCCCCGCCGATTTTCCCCGGGGATTCCCCCCTCGGAATTCCCGCCGAGCCGCCTCCCCAGGGGCCACAGCCCGACCGGGGCTGTGAATTTAAACCGGATTCAATCGTGTTAAACCCACGCCTGGACCTTCCCCTTCCGAAGGCAGCCGGGCCCTAACCGGGTTTGGCTTCGAGAATTAAACTGAACTGAATTAAACCAACTGTAATTGTGACTAAGTGCCCAGAAAGGGGCTCCGGGTGCTCCAGTTAATCCACTTGAGGAGCTGATTTGGATTAATGCTGATGGATGTGCCCTCGTGGACGGGCCGGGCTCTGCCAAGGCTGCTCGGCCGGGATTTACGGCCTCCCGGCCCCTCCCTCGTGGAGCCGCTCCAAGAGCCGGAGCTCTCCCGGCCTTCCAGGGGATGCTGAGGACCCGGGGGATGTCCTTCCCGAAGGACAGGACCTGTCCTGCCTCCCCAGCGTCGGGTGTTCATCCTCTGGGCCACGGCAGGAGGCAAAACCCTTTTTTGGGGGCGTATTTTGGGAGAATCCCGCTGAGGTTTGCAGTCAGCACCCGGATTTAGCCCTTCCTCAGGGCTCCAGGGCGCTGGTTTCTCTCTCCATGTCCTAAAATCTCCCCTCCCTGACCCAAAATGAGGGCAGGGACAGCAAGGCCACGGCAAGGAGAGGAAATTCCCACCAAAATTCCCGCCCCAGTGGGGTTATCCACACCCCACCCCACCCCCCTCCGTGAGGCCGTGGAGACCCCAGATCCCAAACGGCTTCCGAGTCTTTCCCAAAACAAGCTTGGCAAGGTCCCCCTGTGGCAGGGGAAGAGCAAATCCCCTCGAGTTTTTCTCTTTAGGGTCTCCTAAAAACTCCTAAAACTCCGTAAAGGCTCATCCCGGGGCTCTTGGCTTCGTTTCTCCCAGGGAACACCCAACTGGAGCTGGATCACTGCAGGGAAAGGCGGCGGGGTGGGACCTGAGGGAACTATTCCCACTTGGGAGGCAGAGTGGGAAGGATGGAGAGAAGATCACCCCAAAACCCCGCAAACAGGGCTGGTCCAGAGGGTCCAGAGCAGCTTTTTGGGTGCCAGGGTGGGTTTGGATCCCCTGGCCTTGTCTGCTCAGGGAGAGGATCGGGTGTTTTCACCCCTTCTTGGGTAGAACCGAGCTCAGCCAACCCTTGTCCCCTCAGGGGGTTGCTGGGACTTCTCCAACCCCTCCCCTGGTCTCCTCAGGAGGTTCTGCTCCCCTCCAGGAGCGCCTGGAGAGGGCCGGGTGGTTCCTCGCAGCCCCACCGGGGGGGTTTTGCTCATTTAAATGGGAAATGTTGGCCTGGGTGGCTTTTCCCAGCTCCTTCCACGGCCCCGGGGACAAAGGTGGAGCAGCAAACAGGGGTGGCCTCTCCCATCCTACCCGACCTGTGGTGGGGGAACAGGGGATTCCAGGGATGGAGGAAGGAGCTCAGCCCCAACACTGCATCAGAAGCCACCCTGGAGGCCCCTCCTGCCGCTCCAGAGGGCGCTGGATCGGGATCCGCAGCGGGAACGCGCCCGCGGGGGAGGGCTCAGGTAGGCGAAACCTTAATTAACCGAGGGGCCGAGTTCCGAGCGCATTCATTTGAAGCGCGTTTAAAGAGCATGCAAAATGCATGCAAAGTGCACTTCGGTCCGAATGGCAGCGCTCCCCCGTCGCCGGGAGCTGATTTACTGCCCGTCCCCCCGGCGTTCCGGGCGGGATCCAGCTCGTTTTACCGGAGACGCCCGCGGGTTCATTAGCAAAGAGGAGCTTCTCCCTCGGCAGGGGCAGCTTACGGGATGCAGCCCGTCCCTTCCCGGCTCCCTCTCCCTCCCCGCTGGAGTTGGGAAGAGGAGGGACGACCCCGAGGGCTGGGGAGCTGGTGGGAAACACTCCCTGGGAGTGACCTGCTTCCCAGGTCACCCCGGGACTTCCAGGGTGTGGAAAAGGGGATCCATCCCTCTGGAAGGTGAAGGCCACGGTTGGAACACTCCCTGGGAGATGTCCTGGGTCACCCCCCGGACTTCCAGGGTGAGGAAAAGGGGATCCATCCCTTTGGAAGGTGAAGGCCACAGTTGGAACACTCCCTGGGAGATGTCCTGTTGGAACACTCCCTGGGAGATGTCCTGTTGGAACACTCCCTGGGAGATGTCCTGAGTCACCCCCCGGACTTCCAGGGCGAGGAAAAGGGGATCCATCCCTTTGGAAGGTGAAGGCCACGGTTGGAACACTCCCTGGGAGATGTCCTGGGTCACCCCCCGGACTTCCAGGGCGAGGAAAAGGGGATCCATCCCTCTGGAAGGTGAATGTGAAGGCTCTGGATCCCAACCTGCAGCGCATCCCAAAGAATCTCATCCCTGTGGATGGCGCAGGGGCACAGAATCCCCTCACGGAGCCACCTCCAAGGCCACCTCCGTGTCCCCACGTGGGTGACGAGCTGCTGGGACAAGGCGGGAGGTGCCCTCCCGACCCTCTGCCTTTATTTACGGCACCAAAATCAACTCGGCAGCTCGGAAAAAATGCACCTCGCCCTCCCTCCATCCCTCCCTCCCTCCCCGCAGCCTCTCCCCCGCGAATGACCGGCAACAGCTTTGTTTAGAAAAAGAAAACTGATGTTTTTATGGGTCCCATGAATCTTCCCGGGGAGCCAAGAGCCCCGGCCAGGCGGCTCCGAGAAGCTCCGCCGGAGCCGCGAAGCATCTCCTTGCAAAATAAAGGTCAAGCCGAGGCGCTGAACACCATTAAACCCCAGGGCTGGGTGCCAAAGCCCGGGCTTTTAAACCCAAAGAGCAGCGCTTAAAGCGAGTTCCCTCCTCAAAGCTCGCAGCGAGGCTGAAATCCCCCCGGCTCGGCGGTGTTTTCGTAGCAAATTGGGGGTGAAAACGCCTCTTCCCGTCTTTTTATGAGGGCTTTTCAAGGGCAATGTGGTTGTTTGAAGGGAAAAGCCGGCGATGCCGCCGGAGCATCCCGAATATTCCGGTGTTGACGTGCAAAGCCGAGAGGCTTTAAAAAAAAAAATGAGCGAGAAACGGGGGCGTGAGGAGTAAAAATCAGCGGGGGGGGAAAGATGCTCCCCGCGGTGATGTAACCGAAACTCCGGCCTTTCCAGGGGGAGAAAAAAGGGTGGAAAATACTTGAGCTCTTCCTAAACCCCCTCAACATTTCAGCGTGAAACTCAATAATCCTCGAGCCGGGGCCGAGATCTCGGAGGAGCCGCCGGGGTCTGGAAAATGGAGTGAGCAAAACTAATTAAGCTAACGAGCAGCGAGGAGGGGGATTTTTTGGTTTGTGGTGGTTTTTTTTAAAGGGAGGATTTTTCAGGATGGATTTTCAGCTTCGAGCTCCGGGTTTTAAATCAGGCCCTTCCCGGAGGGCTGAGGGTGTTTAAGGAAGGAGCCAAGACACCCCCTTCCCAGCCGTGATTTGGGGGGGGGATGGGGACGGTGGGGATAATCCTGCCCTGGTGGTTAAGCCTCGCCTTTCCCCTTCCAGCCTGAGTTAGGCCGGCTCACGACCAAGCCGGGATGGGCTCGTTTTTGGGGTGTTTTCCTGCGATCACCCGGGTTGTGCCGATTCTCTCCACGGACTCCAGAGGGAGCCCGGCCCGGCCGCGAGGAGGGGCTGAGATCCCGAAGGGAATTCACCTCCTCCGCCAAGGCCAGGACGAAATTTCCCGGGTTTTCCTTACATCAGCATCCCAAAACACCCTTTCAGAGCCAGGATCCACCAGCGGTTTACACCTCACCCCCAGCCGGGGGTGATTTCAACCCCGACCCCCTCGGCAGGACGCCTCCACCCCCTCGGGCTGCTGATTGTCCCCCACCCTCCTCTTCCTCGCTGCCTCTCCAGAAGGGCCGTCCCAGCCCGAGGCAGGGGGGTGACGGTGGGTGCGCCCACGGCCCCACTTCGAGCCCCCCGAAGTCTCTTTACGACTCCCAGCCATTAATTACCGAGAAAAAAGGGGGGGAGGCTCCCGCCTGTTGCTAATTAGCACGCGGAGGACGGGAGGCTGCAGGGAGCTCGCTCGCCCACGGTGCTTAATGAAAGCAGCACAACCCTTCGCGTTATTTAATTTAATCGGAGAATTAATATCGGGATGGAGGGCGATCGCCTCTGCTCCGCGGGCCGGGGGGAGGCCGCTCCACCCATCTCGCTTCATTCCGAAGAGCATCTCAAAGGCGACTTGATCGCGGGGTGATAGGTGGAGTTTGGGGGGTTGCTGGGGCGTGGGGTTTGGTGGGTTTTTTTTTTTTTTTGGAGGTGGGGAGGGGGTTATTTTGATTTTCTTCAGGGGACGGACGGGGTGGGAACCTCCGTCCCTCGGCCGCCGAACAAATGGAACCCGCGCGTAACCCTTCACCCGGGCTCCAGCCGCTGATAAAGTCGCCCCCAATCTTAATTCAATCTGTAAAGATTAAGGCAGCAATAAGGAGCGTCGGAGGGTCTGACGTCCGCCGAGTCTCCCCGGGGCGGGTGACAAACGACTTTGTGACAGTAATCGCCGAATTAGAATCTGCCTGGCGAGCCCCGGCGCAGCCGCCGCGCTCCGGCTCCTCCCCGGCTCCGGGTGCAAGGAAAGGTCACGCCGCGCTCCCCACGCCTCGCATGCTAATGCGGGATTGCCGGGGAAAAAAAAAAACGGGAGGGGGGGGAAATTAAAGACAAAAATAAAATTTAAAAATCGGGGCGTCGTTTGTTTGCGGCCCCCCCCCCCCCCATTGTTCGCTCGCTGGCGCTGCGGGAAAAAGGCAGGTGAAGGGTTTGGTGCGCGATGGTGGAGGGGAAGGAGGGCGCCGGAGCTGCGGGAGCCCCGAATTCCCAGCCCTGGTGCCGGGGGAAGGCCGAGTCCTGCCCCTCTCCCTGAGGGGTTTCCAGTGGAATTAATGAGGGAACGCCGCCCCCCCATCCCCGTGCCCGTCCCTGACAATCCGCGTCCTCCCGGGGGTGGCTTTGGACCCTTTGCCTGGATTTTGGACAACACCCCGGGGATGTGCTTTGGACACCGCCCCAGCAGCTTCAGCCACGCGCTGGAGGGGGGGAATTGGGGTCCGTCGTGCCCACCCTGATGTGACCCCGCACCTTTGGGTGTCCTTGGGGGGCAAAGGGAGGTGAACCGGGGGATGTTTTGGGGCCTGCACCCCCCTGGCCCTGCTAAACCCACGCGGAGACGCGGCCTTTGCCCTGCCTGTGT